CTCCTGCTGCCCTGTGAAGAGGTGCCTTCTGCCATGATTGTACGTTTCCTGAGGCCTCCCCAGCCCTGCAGAACTGTGAGTCAATTAAACCTTTTTCCTTTATAAATTACCCAGTCTTGGGTATTTCTTCATAGCAAAGTAAGAATGGACTAATACATGAAATATCTTTCTTTCAAGTCCCAGGGCCCAAAGTACAGCATGAACCATTGTTGTTTCTCTCCCTGCTGCCCAGACCTTTTAAATAAGTTTTTTTTTTTTTAATTAAATTCTCTTCAAATTACTCTTACATGATTGTCCCATTACTCCCTTGCCTGAATTCTGACTTAGGGATACAATACAAAGACTATCAATCTATTCCACTGATGAAATAATTTTTTTTCTCTACTAAGTATCACCTGTGGTGCTGGTGGTGGTGGTGATGGTGGTGGTGGTGGAGTGTATGTACAAGATTGTATTTGTTTCTTTCTTGGAATTGCAGCACATCAAGTGATAAAATTTCTTGTTTTGCCTTCTCTGTGTGTATACTACTGCATGTAAATCTATTTTCAGCCTGGAATCAAACATTTCTTCAAGGCAGGGCAGGCTAATTTCATGGGTCAAGAGGCTACCATTCTGTCCTTTAAAAAAGAGCAAGTGTCTGACTGCTTCTTACAGTGTTTGTATCAGGTAGGTAGGAATTATGATAACTCTGCTGATAAAGTACAAAGAAAATCATGACATAAACAAGACAAGGGGTTTATTTTCTAAGTAGTAAGGAGCACAGATTTTAGTTAGTTCAAGGTTGTTATGTGTGGTAGATCGCAAAATTGGTCATGACTTGTTACAACTCTTCTCATCAAGGGGGAGGTTGTATTAGTCCGTTCTCATGCTGCTAGTAAAGACATACCCAAGAGTGGGTAATTTATAAAGGAAAGAGGTTTAATTGACTCACAGTTTCACAGGGCTGGGGAGGCCTCACAATCATGGTAGAAGGTGAAGGAGGAGGTAGGTCATGTCTTACATGGTAGCAGGCAAAGAAATCATGATAGCCAAGCAAAAGAGGAAACCCCTTATAAAATCATCAGATCTGGTGAGACTCATTCACTACCATGAGAAGAGAAGGGGGGAAACTGATTCCATAATTCAGTTATCTCCCACTGGGTCCCTCCCACAACATGTGGGAATTATGGGAGCTATGATTCAAGATGAGATTTGGGTGGGGACACAGCCAAAGCGTATCAGAGTTCTATTTCTTCACCCTACAATCCAGAGTGGCCTTGTGACCGATAGTGTGTGACAAAAGTGACAGTAGGCAAGTCCCAAGTGTGAGTCTCAAAGACTTTGCATACCTCTTCTCTTGGGACTCTGCTGTTTGCTGGAGAGAGACTATAAGCAGAAAGGCTTCTATTGTCCTAGCTATCCCAACTGAGGCCATCAGAAACTTGTTAACCCAGCTGACCTGCTAGCTGACTAAAGACCTACGAGTGAAGCATCCAAAATCAATCAACACTAGCCCAGGTTGAAAAAAGTCATCTACTTTAGCCCAGCCCAAACTGTCAAAAGGCAGAAGTGGAGCTAAACAAATGAGTTTGTTTTAATCTAAGTTTTAGGGGTGGTTTGTTATGCAATAAATCTTGGTATATTATTGTAGTTCATCAGAGCCCACGGCTCTTCCAGTTCACTGCTCTACCATTCTGAAAGTATCAGCTGTGTCCTGATATTCACAAGGAGGCTGCTGGAGTGCTAACTATTACACCTGTATTCCAGACTGGAGGAAGAGGAGAAAGGCAAAAGGAACCTTTCACATGAAAAAATCGCTTCTTTTAAAGGAGCTTGCTCAAGAAAACCACCCAATGTTTCCCTTATATGTCTACTTAGCTATGCCTATTTCCAAATAAAGTTGAGAAGTATAGTTTTGATAGATGGGCACATTGCAACCCAACCCCCAAATAGGTCTGTCATTGAGGAAAAATTGAATATCACTTAATAGTTAGCAATATTACTACATTACTGTCATAAACCCTCGGGGATTTTAGGACACCTTAACATTGAGTCTGTTGATGAATGACTCTTGTTCTATTACATAGAACTCCTGTGTGATAACTAGATTGGAGTCTTCATATATGCCTTTATCTTAATATTATTTTCTTTTTATAAAGTGAAAGCAAGTTTATTAAAAAAGTAAAGGAATAAAAAATGGCTACTCCATAGACAGAGCAGCCCCAAGGACTGCTGGTTGCTCATTTTTATAATTGTTTTTTGATGATATGCTAAACAAGGGGTAGATTATTCATACCTCCATTTTTTAGGCCATACAGGGTAACTTCCTGACACTGCCATGGCATTTGTAAACTGTCATGGCGCTGGTGGGAGTGCAGCAGTGAGGAGGACCAGAGGTCACTCTCGTTGCCATTTTGGTTTTGGTGGATTTTGGCTGGCTACTTTACTGCAAGCTGTTTTGTCAGTGAGGTATTTATGACCTGTAGTTTGTGCTGACCTCTTATCTCATCCTGTGACTTAGAATGCCTTAACTGTCTGGGAATGCAGCCCAGGTTTCAGCCTCCTTTTACCCAGCTCCTATTTAAGATGGAGTTGCTTTGGTTCACAAACCTCTGACATTTCCCCACTTTCTTTTCTAAGAGAACCCTTAATTCTAAGGGTTGCAGAGGGACAAAGATTCATCTTCTGTAACTTCTTCAGGCTGAATAGGGGCGATGATATTCCTGCCTACTTATGAGGGTCTCTTGTATTCAGGGTAGCCAGGAACTCAGTCAGAAAGGATCAGTATGGTGAGGGCCATGTCTGACTCTTGAGTTTCAACAAGAGGTGATCTCTGGGAGATTAGTAAGTGTTAGTTTAAGAAAACACTCAGTAATCTATATTGTTCTGTATTCCTACCCAAAGAGTAAAACAGCAATATACTCCACAAGGGTAAAGGAAAATAAGTAAAGTTATTCCAAGTAAACTAAATTAGTAGGCTTTTAATGAACTGGGCGACTGTTAGAACTAAGCTTACATGGGGTTGTTAATTGATTGTAATGTGCCTAGAATTAGAATACTGATCCAGATTATTACATTGCCCATCCCTCTGGTTTCTTCTGAGCAGCAATCAGAGATCACTGATTGGTTCACAGGAATAATCAGGTTACCCTAAATTGCAGAAACAAACTTAAAAACAACTAATGAGACTAGAATTTAATAACAAGTGTACCCTAGTTCTTGAAACATAGTATTTCAGACTCCAGTTTCCCATTTTTACTAAAGACAAATCACTGTAAGGCTGATTTGCTTTATTATACTTGGTCTGATTATTTGTATAAAGTGCAGCAAGAATAATTATTTTTCACATAGGCTTTTTAATTGGCTTTGGTGGAACTCTGTTTCGTAAGGAATCTCAGATACCACTTTTTAAAAGCGGAATCCTGCCATGGATTTGTACCCTCAAATACCTATGAGTTGAGTGAATTTCTCTCCTTTTGATGTCCCAAGTTAACTTGGGGCTCCTGGACCTGATAGAGAGTGGCATTTTTTACTTACCACAGGTCAGAAACCCCATACAGTGACTGTGTATGCAAGGTATAAGGCTGGTTTCCCAAGGGGCTTTTATTGGCTCCGTAAGTCAAATTTGATTCCTTAAAGAGAAACACACCATTCCAGTCAAAGCTTTGGTAAAATAACCTATTTCTCCAATTTGTGTCCTGTTAAAAAAGAAAACAAATTTTTATTGCACTTACACAAATATATTGCCATAAGTTAAAGATACTCACAACCAGTTTCCAAATTATGGAGAAATTAGGTAGAGAGAAACAAATATGCTCCAAATTTTGTTCACAGGAATATACTTTACTCAATTGCTAAAAGCTATAAATAGCTAAAAAATAAAACAAAACAAAAAGCAAACAAACAAACAAAAAAGCTCCATGACTCTGAAAAACAAAACAAAGCATCAGCAATGTTTTAAGCAAGTTAAAAAGATTACTTTAGTTTTCCGTAGGTTCAGTTAATTCCGTTAACTCCTGTTCTATTTGATATTTATGAACATTTTAGCTCTTTATGAGAGTTTTGAAAGTTGTTTCCTCTATTCTAATATTACAATTTTCAATTAGACAACTGCATTTAAGAACACCTGCTAGAGTTCTATAGTTGATTATAAATCACCTTCTAAAGAGGATTAAAACAAGACAATTGTCTGCGGATGACAAACTGTTTTAGGAAAACAAGACAACAATTGTCTGTGGATGACAAAATGTTTTAGGACAGCCACTATTAAAGCTACAATTGATAAGGAAATTTGGTAACTTCTGTGGCACACAAAATTTTACATAATTCTAATTATTAATAATATACACTAAGTCATATTAGAATTACAGGAGTTTCCCATAACTTTGGAACATATACGAATAATATATTTATGCAAATATAGCTGAAAGAAAGCAAAATATGATTTCACATTTGATAATGTTTCCTGTATGATTTTTATGTCAAATAAGCCAAATTTTACCTTTACATTAATGTCCTGTTAATGTTAAACCCAATGTTTAATAAAACCTTATAAGCATATTTACCCAATTTTAATGTTTAGCCATAAGGTAAGATTCTTAAAAACCTTTTATAACACTTTACATTTTTTCTTTTGTGAAACAGCCAATCAGAAAAACTTCTTGTGCTTTCATTCCAATGTTTAATTTATGGAAAAACTGAATAATACCTGCTTTAACTTTAGCCAATATGTTCACACACAGAATCTCTTACAATTAATTTTTTTATGAACCTTCCACAACTTGTTTAAATCTTTAGATTTTTTTCTTAATGAAAACAATCCTTTAACACTTTAGGCAGAAAAAAGTCCACATTCCTCTGACTTCTTATAATCTTTCACCAAAATACATTTTACTTTCTTTACACATCTTGCATGTAAAAATGTTACTTTAGTGGTTTTAATTACATGTTATAATGTTAACTCTTAGAAACTTATTTTTGGTGGAAATCTTGGTAAATCTGAGATTTTAATTATGTACTAGGTGTGGAGCCTCATCTAGGACACACAAGGCAGAAGTGGAGATAAGAGCTGACTCTCCAGCGTAGCTAGGGGGCGTGGCTAACCCCACACGTCTCCAGGCCTTATCTAGAATCTAATGGCTTTAAGGTAGGTAAATTGAACAATTTTCAAGTCAAAGAAACAGTTTGACCTTAAAGCATTTAGCAAATCTGATATCTGACTTTAATTTAAACCAAATGTCTACATTTTCAAGACGTTTTATTTTATCAATAATCTTTAAAACTGTCTTTATTTCCAAAGGATTACTAAAGTTATGTGAACAAAAAAAGCATTAAAGTTTCTATTGTTCTTACAAAATATTTGATTTAAACTCTTATTTTTTAAGCCAATTAATGAGAGCTCTTTTATATATAAACATGCAACACATATAAATACATAGACAGAAGATTCAGCACTTGGAAGATTTTTCATTTGCCAGTTTCTTGATGGGATTATGGGCCTCAGGGTGGAGCTCTTGGAAAAACAGGGCCAGGAAAGCATGCATTTCTAGGGTCAAATAAGTAGCAAATAAGCAGCTGAAGGCAAAGACAGATCCCCAAAATGAAGGATGCCATTTTAGACTGATTCCTGAATCCTCAAAAGGAGGGAAATGATGTAAGAGAAGGCAATGCAGTGCTTCTACTCTGCATGTCATTGCAAGGCAACCCAAAGCCAATCAGCCCATTTTGTAATCAGCCCGTACCTCATGGGAGTCTCATCTCCCAGTGGGGAGTGAAAATGTTTTCTTATCTTCCAAGTGGCCCAGAGTATGCTTCTCTGATTCAAGTGTTCAAAGAGATAAGTATCCCTTCATAACTACTATCAGCCATCCATTAAAGTATATTTCTTACCAAGTTATTGCCACTAAAACTCTTTCATAATGTGAAGCAATTTCTGATACCCCCAAACTTAAAAGCTTCAGACAAAAAACGAAACAAAACAAAACAGAGCCTTTGGTTTTGAGAGGGGTCTCTCTGCTTTTAATTCCTGGGGTTTCATGAGGAAAACAGAGGATTTTTTCTCAAAACAGGGTCTGTGGCACCTCCTCTGTTTTTCCCCAGGGCTCCCAGGCTACCAGAAGTTACCTTACAGCCTCTCATTTTTGCATTAAGACTGGTGAGGCAAAAAAATAATAATAATAATTTAAAAAAAGGGAGAAAAATAATTCAATCAACTGAGAAGAAAAAGTCTTTTCTAGAAAAATAAGATCCAAGAAGGGAAAAACATAAAGACCTTTTAAGCATATCTATAGTTTGTTTATACACTTTTAATTAAGCCGATTTTAACCATATCACTCTTTGATAAAGTCCTTTTAGAATTTAATATGCCAAATGGCCAATATTTCCGGCTTTTGAACTTCACCAAGTGCCACTTCCTATGTGCTTAGAGAAAGAAAAACTTAAGACAGTCCATGAAAAAGAATACATAAGGTCACACAGATATTAAACCAGAAACAACTTACTTCCTAGGTGGGGAATGGAACCTGGAATACCACTGTGAATGTGCAAAAACTTAACCAGTAAGCTAGAGCACAGGGCAGCCTCCATTTCTTTTCCCAGAATGAGTCAGAGTACTTGATTTTGAGCTTGCAAAGGCTTTTAATTATTTACTAAGATTTTTTTAGAGCTAACTATGACATGAACCCTAAAATTCCTGTTCCCTGAAGGCAGAGACCAAAAGGAAGTACTACCATGTGGTTAAAAGCTCAAGCTCCCAAGGACATGAAACAAGGTGGAGACTTTATCCAGTTTTTTGTTTGTTTCAGGAACCTGCAGCCACGTTTGTGACTGACCACCTTGCTGGGTCAACTTGAAAAGCGGGCTTCCAGGTGTTCTAAGTTGGTGTTTTATCTTGAAGTACCCCTTGACACAGAAAAATGAATTCACAGCACAAAATACACCAGTTTAAGGATAGCCTGAGAATTCTTTTTCAGGTTAATCAAAACTTTACAAAGGACATAAACACTGATTTTTCTTTTCCATTCATTCAACTGTTTGCATAGAGAGGAAGAAGCCAGAAATCTGACTGGTAAGAAATACCCTTTTGCTTGCATGCCAGGGTTTTGGGTTCCCTTCCCCTGAGCGACTCTAGTGATCCAGCTTGCCATCTTGTGGCACCATTGCCCTGGGGATCAAGCCGAATCATAGGGAATATTATTATTTTTTCATTCTGGCCTGAGCATAATACATGTGATAAAACATAGACATTAGCTACTCTGCTTAGCCCCTTCATCTTTAATCCAACCTCCAACTTGGAGTTTCAACACATGATCTCTGGGCAAGGCAGTTTCCCTGAGTAAGAGAAAAGAAAGGAAAAGGAGAGAGAGAAAAGCATTGTCTGTGGCTGGGTAGGGAAGGTGAAATACTTAGAGAGGCCAGAGAAAGACCCACCTATTGCAGCAATACTGAAAAGTTCAGGCAGCTGTGGCTGCTGTCATGAAAAGATTTTTTCCCAGCAGTCCTGTCAGCTCTCAGGTTTCCCCTTTTAGGGAGGAAAAAGCTCCCCATGTCCCATGATCCTGTACATGTCTAACCCTGTCACCCACAGCCATCAGCAAAGAGTACAAGGCAGATTAATCCAAAAAGAATAGCAGTTAACATCCCATAGTCCCAGACCTGTTCTTAGTCCAGAGGGACTTTACCAAGAGGGGCCTCTAATTTTAGAAGGGACTCTAACCCTCCTAATTTGGACCTCTAACCCGAGGGTGGTCAAACGTCCTTGCCTTTTATTAAAAAAGGGACAATACTGAAAAGATCCCCCTGATTGAAAGGAAAAAGACGGCAGCACTGATTGAATGACTTTGGGTAAGTTGTGGGGTACCCAGGTAAAGAATGGGATTGGGTTAAATGCCCAATTTAGGGGAGTTAGAGTCTCTCCTAAGACAGAGTGGGTTAGAGGCCCTTCTTGTAGAATGCTGTATCATACCCTGTATACATAGTTTAGTGCAAAGGCCTATAGAAACAGCTCTCATGAAAACCTCCCTTAGTTCACCCCCACCTTATTCAGATAAACTCTTCCTTCTTGATGTCCAAGAAGAACAGCAGAGCCTAGATGTGCTAAGGCATCTTGAAGAGGAAAAACTACAAAATCAAAAGGGAGAAATTGTCAAAGATGATAAATTCCTCTTGAAAAGGCTTTAGTTTCCTGTTCTTTGTTTCTTAAGATGAACTTCCTTGTACTTCCTTATCTCCTAGCCACCTGTTCTGTAAACTACCTTCCTGCCTTTGCCACACCAAGACAAGTCCATATATGCCTTCCCACCTGGTAATGGGCAGTCCTTCTTCCTTCCTGTCAAATAGACTCTATTCAATTTTAAACCTTAGCCAATAGAGTTAGCTTAGATTGTGAGGTCCAACCCCAGCCAATGGGGAAAGAACACAGAAGTGCTAGGAACTGTGTTAGGGATAAAAACCCTGCCCTACTACACTTTGTGTGCTCTTGTGATTGTGACTGGTGCAAGCTGTGCCCTTCTGCAGAAGTAACTTGCCTTGCTGAGGAAAAAAACAAAAAAGCAAGTAAAGGAATAAAAGAATGGCTACTCCATAGACAGAGAGCCTATCATTATTTTTAATAGAGAAACAGTCTCACTGTCTCACAGGCTGGAGAGCAATGGCAGGATCACAGTTTATTGTAGCCTCAAAAATGATCCTCCCATCTTGGCTTCCCAAAGTGCTAGAGTTATAGGTATGAGCCACTGTGCCAGGCCATATATGACTTGAAAAATGGATGTAGTGATTCTTTGTTTGGCTTTATTTCCATTTGTCCTCACACTTGCCCTGGAGATACAACTGTGAAAGCTAATTGGCTTTCAAATGTTTCACATACTTCTGAGATTTCACAGTCAAGGAGAAGGCAAATGGAAGGAGCATTATGTTGAAATCTACCCACAGATAAAACACTAACCTGAATAAGACTACTGTAGTATTAATAGTTTAAATGAGAAAGGAAGGTGTGGGGGAAATTGTCAGTGTTTCCAGATTCTTTTAACACTTTTGTCTAAAATTCTTTTAGAATTTGTCAGTTTCTGTTTTAGTTTCCACCATGTAAAGCTTACAATTGGAAAGCCTGGTGCATGATTGCAAACTGTTTGAGATGCTTTAGAACACTGATTTTGAAGTTATCTGTGGGGAAGGACGCTTTTATAAAATTTACCACCTCTTCAAGTCTGCTACATGGTCATCCTGCACATGACTAGCAGGCAGTGTGCACCATGGGGCTCATCACATGCATTTCCACACTATCTAACTGGTCCCACCATGTGATAAGCCCACTGATCACGTGCTTGGATGTCCTGGCAATGGAAAATTGCTATAAGAATTTCTAAACACTTACTCTTGAGTTCTGTACTTATCTCATTGCAGTGACAAATGGTTGACAGATCGACAAATAGTTCACAGACCAGCAGTATGCTCTGCACCAGGGGAGTTTATAATCTTGTTGGGAAGATAATAATTAAGGAAGGGAAATCACTGTTTTTAAGGCAGCATGTTAGAAAGTGGAGGTAATATTGTTTCTGTTCTGTCCCCAGTAAGCAGACCTGTAAACAAGAATTTGGGTGGAGATAGTGTGTGGGAAGATGATATAAATTATCTATCAGAAAGTACCTTTAGGGATGTGGAAATGTGAGGGAGAGAAAGGAAGGATGCCAATCGGAGTGCGTTCATTTGCAGGTTATTTATTGCTGTAGGAGACTGAGATGAATCATGCCGACCTCTCAGACTGTGTAGGGATTGAGTTGCTTCATACAACATACTGACAAAGCTGAAGTATCTGTCCTTCAACTTTCAGATGTCATTGCTTGAGGGTTACTTTTTTTCTGGGGAATTCTGGCACTTCCTCCATGAGCTGGGCATGTTCCATTGACCACAGAAATCCTTCATGCAGAGTCATAGTTTGCTGTAGAAATGGTGAGGAGTAAAGGGACGTGAGTGGGTGTGGCCAGCATCTGCTCATGCCATGTATTCTGTAAATAAACCCTAGACACAGTGAAGAATATCAAGGATTATTCAATAAAGTTTTCTTGGGGGAAGTTTACTTTGAATTTGGCTATAAAGAATAGATACAAACAGAATGTCAGAGAGAGGGAGAGAGAGAGAGGCCTAGCCCTGGGAATGCAGGTAGTGAAATCAACAAGGACAAAGATGGTAGTAAATAAATACCTGTGGGAGCTACAAAGGAAAAGCCTACCTGGAATAGATGTACCATATTGCCTGGAGTAGAAATGCCACATTGGGGAACACGTGCAGCTTGCTTGGTATTGGTTAAAGATGTGTCATGAATGAAACATAAATAATAAAAAATGATAATAATTGCTGACATAGAATGGACATTCATATGTCCCTGCTATTATAATGCCATGGAGTGGGCATTTATATATGCCTGCTACTGCTGAATGCCTTATTTGCATTGTGTTTTATGTAGTATGCATGAAACTTTATTCTGTGACTTTCAGGTGTAAGCAATTTTATGTTACACACTTTTTTAATATAATTTAAATCTACTCCCCAGTTCTACTTGCTCAGATGAAGAAAAATTCTCTCTCAGTTGTGTTTTACAGGAACTCATCCCCTTTCTCAGTCCATACCTGAATCCCAGGGCAGAACATTAAGAGATGAGTCTGGGGCCGGGCACGGTGGCTCACGCCTGTAATCCCAGCACTTTGGGAGGCCAAGGCAGGTGGATCACGAGGTCAAGAGATCGAGACCATCCTGGTCAACATGGTGAAACCCGGTCTCCACTAAAAATACAAAAAATTAGCTGGGCATGGTAGCGCATGCCTGTAATCCCAGTTACTCAGGAGGCTGAAGCAGGAGAATTGCCTGAACCCAGGAGGCGGAGGTTGCGGTGAGCCGAGATCGCGCCATTGCACTCCAGCCTGGGTAACAAGAGCGAAACTCCGTCTCAAAAAAAAAAAAAAAGAGATGAGTCTGCTGGCCTTGAGTTCACTTTGCTGTGCTCAATTTCCAAGCGTACAGGATTTCTTAAAGACAAGTGACTTTGATGTTATGTGTCAAGCACTGGCATAAGACTCCTTGTCAGTGAAAAAGTACTTTGTGGCCTTTCCAGTTTAAGGTTCTGAAGCCACTGTGGAAACCAGCCACTGCTCCCACTATTCATGGACCTGAATGTCTCATTCACCACCCGGTATGATTTGGCTCTATGTCTCCACCTAAATCTTATCTCAAATTGTAATCGCCATGGGTCAAGGAAGGGACTTGGTGGAAGGTGATTGGATCATGGGTGTGGTTCCCTCCGTGGTATTCTCATGATAGTAAGTGAGTTCTCATGAGATCTGATGGTT